ATATGTTTGCACAGATATTGTACAGGGTCAGATAGCCAGTCATATGTTTGTACAGGTATTGTACAGGGTCAGATAGCCAGTCATATGTTTGTCACAGATATTTGTACAGGGTCAGATAGCCAGTCATATGTTTGTACAGGTATTGTACAGGGTCAGATAGCCAGTCATATGTTTGTACAGGTATTGTACAGGGTCAGATAGCCAGTCATATGTTTGCACAGATATTATACAGGGTCAGTTAGCTTGTCATATGTTTGTACAGGTATTGTAAAGGGTCAGATAGCCAGTCATATGTTTGCACATATATTACACAGGGTCAGATAGCTTGTCATATGTTTGTACAGGTATTGTACAGGGTCAGATAGCCAGTCATATGTTTGCACAGGTATTATACAGGGTCAGATAGCTTGTCATATGTTTGTACAGGTATTGTACAGGGTCAGATAGCCAGTCATATGTTTGCACAGATATTATACAGGGTCAGATAGCTTGTCATATGTTTGTACAGGTATTGTAAAGGGTCAGATAGCCAGTCATATGTTTGCACAGGTATTATACAGGGTCAGATAGCTTGTCACATGTTTGTACAGGTATTATACAGGGTCAGATAGCTTGTCATATGTTTGCCCAGGTATTGTACAGGGTCAGATAGCTGGTCATATGTTTGCACAGGTATTGTACAGGGTCAGATAGCTTGTCATATGTTTGCACAGGTATTGTACAGGGTCAGATAGCCAGTCATATGTTTGTACAGGTATTGTACAGGGTCAGATAGCCTGTCATATGTTTGTACAGGTATTGTACAGGGTCAGATAGCCTGTCATATGTTTGTACAGGTATTGTATAGGGTCAGATAGTCTGTCATATGTTTGCACAGGTATTGTACAGGGTCAGACAGCCAGTCATATGTTTGTACAGGTATTATACAGGGTCAGATAGCTTGTCATATTTGACAGTATGTAGTCGAGCCTTCGTAGTTGTACAGGTATTGTACAGGGTCAGATAGCCTGTTATATGTTTGTACAGGTATTGTACAGGGTCAGATAGCCTGTCATATGTTTGCACAGGTATTATACAGGGTCAGATAGCTTGTCATATGTTTGCACAGGTATTGTACAGGGTCAGATAGCCGTCATATGTTTGCAGGTATTGTACAGGGTCAGATAGCCAGTCATATGTTTGTACAGGTATTGTACAGGGTCAGATAGCCTGTCATATGTTTGTACAGGTATTGTACAGGGTCAGATAGCCTGTCATATGTTTGCACAGGTATTGTACAGGGTCAGATAGCCAGTCATATGTTTGCACAGGTATTGTACAGGGTCAGATAGCCGGTCATATGTTTGCACAGGTATTGTACAGGGTCAGATAGCCTGTCATATGTTTGCACAGGTATTGTACAGGGTCAGATAGCCGGTCATATGTTTGCACAGGTATTGTACAGGGTCAGATAGCCGGTCATATGTTGTTTTGACATTTTGTGAAAATGTCAAAAAGAGCTGCAGATACCCCTATGGGTAACAGTGAGAAAAAGAAAAGGAAGCATCTGATGTTATCAATAACGCAGTAAGTAGAGTTACTGCAGAAGCTTGATCATGGTGTGTCAGTGCAGCGTCTTAATGAAGAATGTGGTGTTGGAATTACCGCTGTCTATGATTTAAAGAAATGGTGTTAAATACAAATAAGCATGAGAATAGTAGTGATGATGATGACATTGTGAACACAGGTGAAAAAGTCCCCATAGACGAAATGGTGAAAATGAGCGATCAGTTAAGTCTTTAAAAATGCCATCTGTCATAACACTGCTTCATCACTTGAGAATCACGTTCCTGGTCTATAATTATCCCATTATTTCATTTATCAATATATTACTCTATAAATAAACTGTAGTATTATTTGTAGTCTTTATTTATCCCACTTAGTAAGATTAAGATGATTATTCTGACATGATACATGGTTGTAATTGGGAATGTAACAGTTGGGTGTACATGACAAAAGCCCCTTTGTATGCAGAGCATTTTGGGCAAACTTAAGGATTAACTTAAGATTAGTGTGGCATGCAAAGAGTACGTAACCTTTATTCGGCGCATGTACACACCCTCATTTACAGGCTATCTCCCCCAACCAGCGAACCAGGTTGCTAAGAGTTGATGATGGGGCCCCATCGTTCAACTAGTGACCAGGTTCTAGCCAATAAGAAGATGGTTTTGGCAATCGCAGAGGTTATGTGGGTACCGCTCTCCTGTCTGCCCTTGTCATTCCCATTCTAGAGCTGGTTGAAGCACGGTCTGCTATCTTGTGGCTTCTATTTCTGCCTTGCTTACCGTGGAGTGCACTATACTTATCACTGTACATAGTGTACATATTGCTGTTCTAAATTGGTGAAGGATAATATAAATCTAAACTTTTTCTGTTGTGTTTATTTTGCTCCCATTACACCCGGGATAACAGGCCATTTGGAATCCTGGGTTGTAATAATTAGTAAGGCAATAAAAGTTCATATGGTCATTAGATGAGTTACAGTGAGTACAAAAGAATTGAATATTCTATAAGGTAATGCTACCTGGGTTGGATAAGTCTAGTAGAGAATTATTATACTATTGAATTAGTTTATAAAGATTACAGTATTACAATGTAACAATTTAAAACAATTTACAATATGATGTATTACAGTTTAGTACTATTTAAAACAATGAAATTTAGACATCCTAATTTTGAAGTAGTACGTCAGTGGTTGAGCGTTCCTCAGCACAATATGAGTAGCTTTTGAGTAACTGGTAGTGAATACGTACGGTTTGTCTAGTTAATTTTGTGTGATGAGGTGACTTCTTAAACTGATTTGCAGACAGGGGTCCTTTAGTGTGTTCTGGCAATGAATTCCAGATCTTCGGGCCTTTTACATGCATAGCATTTTTGCATAGGGAGAGATGAACACGAGGGATATCGAAGAGTGATCTGTTGTGTGTTCTGTTATAGTTATCAAGGAGGAGTGTGAGAGGAGGGTTTACATTAGAGTATAGTGTTCTATGTATGTAGTAGGCACAATAATAAGTGTGGATGTTTTGTATATTGAGCAAGTTAAGACTCTTGAAAAGTGGTGGAGTGTGTTGTCTAATGCAGAAGTTAGCAATCAATTGCACTGCAGATTTTTGTTGGGTTATTAAAGATTTAAGGTGATTTGTTGTGGTTGATCCCCATGCACAAATACCATAGGGGAGGTAAGGGTAAATGAGAGAGTGGTACAGAGCTAGAAGAGCTGATTGGGGTACACAGTACCGTATCTTTGAAAGGATGCCAAATGTTTAGGAGACTTTCTTGGAAATATGCTGTATGCATGTCTGAAATCTGAGACTGCAGTCAAGGTGGAGACTAGAAATTTGCCCTTTGTCTGTCTAGAAATATGTGAACTATTTATCAATATGCTCAGCTGTACATTTGAAGTTCTGTTTCCAAAAAGCATGAAGTAGGTTTTGTCTATATTGAGAGTAAGTTTGTTGGTAATCATCCAAGTAGATGACTCACGAAATCATAATGACACAATTGCAAACAAACCATACCACTGGTGGGGACAGAACCCGCGATCAGAGTCTCAAAACTCCAGACCGTCGCGTTAGCCACTGGACGGTCTGGAGTTTTGAGACTCTCTGATCGCGGGTTCTATCCCCGCCCGTGGTATGGTTTATCCAAGTAGATATTTTTAGCAGTTCAGCATTTACAGTGTCTGTTAGTATGGTTGGGCTTGGGTGAGAAGACATAAGTTGTGTCATCTGCAAATAAAATGGGTTTAAGAGATTAGATGTGTTTGGTAGGTCTTTGATGTAAATGAGAAAGAGAAGTGGGCCAAGGACACTCCCCTGTGGGACTCCAATAAGAACAGGTTGTGTAGTGGAGCTGGCTCCATTTGTGTATACATACTGGGTTCTATTGTTAAGATAAGATTTTAGATAATCGAGAGAGTGTCCTCTGACCCCGTTAATGTTCGAGTTTTTGGTACAAAAGGTCATGGCCAACTGTATCAAAAGCTTTACATAAGTCTGTGAAAAGTCCCAGGGGAAATTCATTTTTCTCGAGTGCAGAATACAGTGGACCCCCGCTTAACGATCACCTCCAAATGCGACCAATTATGTAAGTGTATTTATGTAAGTGCGTTTGTACGTGTATGTTTGGGGGTCTGAAATGGACTAATCTACTTCACAATATTCCTTATGGGAAAAAATTCGGTCAGTACTGGCACCTGAACATACTACTGGAATGAAAAAAGTTCGTTAACCGGGGGTCCACTGTATATTAGTTCAAGCATATGTATACGTAATAGCATCATTAGTACTATTTTTCGGTCCAAACCCAAACTGACAAGAGTTGAGTATGTTATGGGGTACGAAGTAGAAGTAGACTTGTTTGTGAATTAATTTTTCAAAGATTTTAGATAGTAAGAGGCAGGTTTAATATAGGCCTATAGTTCTTCAATTCAGTTAGATCACCTCCTTTGAGGATCGGGGTGACTCTTGCTGTCTTGAGTATGGATGGGAAGGTGGAAGATTCTATGGATTTGTTAAAAAGAGTTGCAATAATTGGTGGCAACACATGAGAAGCGTTTTTATACATGAGTGGTGGTAAGTTATTTAGTGTGAGTATTCATACGTTTTTGCTCCAGTGTTAATGTTTGATTATAGGGTGCTGCCCTAGACCCCACCTTCATTCTGAAATTCGAAACACCACTGACCCCAAGGGTCTTGGATAAAGGAATGTGTACCTGTACTTCACGACAGTGAATACAATTACATTATTGTTTTTATTTTTTACAATTTGGAGACCTACAAAAGAGTTTGTTTGCCATTTTTAGGGTGCAAGGAACATAATTTTATTTTTAACATGAGTTCTTCAGTTTGTTTTACACAATTTCATCTTGCACCAATTTTCAGGAACCTAATTACCATGTTAACTGACAGCCTATTGTACCTATCTATCCATATACATGTCTTAAAGGGAAGACAACACACCTGCGAGCGTACACGCAGCAGTGAGGCGAAGGAACTGGTTCGTGCTCGAAGGTGAGGATACTGACGCACGTACTCTGGAACATGGACCTTGCGTGCCTTGAACGGGTATGTCTCGTGTACCCTGCTGCCCACAACCTGACAGTGACAGAACAGTGAGGTAAACAAGGAAACACATCAACCATCACTCAGCCAGTAACTGTCTTGTCATCTTACATGGTCATGAGAGACAAGGTTCAACAATCCTACCAGAGTGCAAAATATTTACCAGGCTTCCATTTCCAAACTACTATCACTGGTTAACACAAACAACATAAATAATAAAAATTCATAATATTGAGACTGGAACAATACACGAATAACTCGCACATAGCAGACTGAAATTTATGATGCTGTTTTGGTCTGACTCAGATCATTAACTAACCCAAGATGGACCTAAACATCATCATAAATTTGTTCTCATGTGTGCTGGTTGATTTTGTGTTGTTGACATAAGTCATCAACCCTGTAACTCACCTGTACATCATCTGCAACCAACTCCACATCCTGCCTTTCATGGGACGACGAACGCAAGACACCAGTCACTGACACTGCTGCGTGGAACCCCAGGTCTGCTGGTCGCTTCTCCGATGACAATACCACCTGAAACACAAGTGCACATCAACATTGCCTGAAACAAGTGCATGTCAACACTGCCTGTAAGACAAGTGCACATCAACACCAACTGCAACACAAGTGCATGGCAACACTGCCTGCAACACAAGTGCACAACACCACCTGCAACACAAGTGAATGTCAAAACCACCTGTAACACAAGTGCACATCAACACCACCTGCAACACAAGTGCACATCACCACTGCCTGTAACACAAGTGCACATCACCACTGCCTGCAACACAAGTGCACATCATCACTGCCTGCAACACAAGTGCACATCAACACTGCCTGTAACACAAGTGCACATCACTGCCTGTAACACAAGTGCACATCACCACTGCCTGCAACACAAGTGCACATCACCACTGCCTGTAACACAAGTGCACATCACCACTGCCTGCAACACAAGTGCACATCATCACTCACTGCCTGCAACACAAGTGCACATCAACACTGCCTGCAACACAAGTGCACATCATCACTGCCTGCAACACAAGTGCACATCAACACTGCCTGTAACACAAGTGCACATCACCACTGCCTGCAACACAAGTGCACATCACCACTGCCTGCAACACAAGTGCACATCACCACTGCCTGCAACACAAGTGCACATCAACACTCCCTGCAACACAAGTGCACATCAACACTCCCTGCAACACAAGTGCACATCAACACTGCCTGCAAAAACAAGTGCACTCATCACTGCCTGCAACACAAGTGCACATCAACACTGCCTGCAACACAAGGCACAAAACACTGCCTGCAAACACAAGTACACATCAACCCTGCCTGCAACACAAGTGCACATCAACACTGCCTGCAACACAAGTGCACATCAACAGCCTGCAACACAAGAAACACACAACACTGCCTGCAACACAAGTACACATCAACACTGCCTGCAACACAAGTGCATATCATCACTCCTGCAACACAAGTGCACATCATCACTGCCTGCAACAAAAGTGCACTCAACACTGCCTGCAACACAAGTGCACATCAACACTGCCTGCAACACAAGTACCATCAACACTGCCTGCAACACAATGACAAATCAACACTGCTGCAAACAAAGTGCACAATCAAACACTGCCTGCAACACAAGTGCACATCAACACTCCCTCCCAACACAAGTACACATCAACATGCCTGCAAACACAAGTACACATCAACACTGCCTGCAACACAAGTGCACATCATCACTGCCTGCAACACAAGTGCACATCATCACTGCCTGAAACCCACAAGTGCACATCAACACGCCTGCAACACAAGTGCACATCAACACTGCCTGCAACACAAGTACACATCAACACTGCCTGCAAACAAGTGCACACCCAACACTCCCGCAACACAAGTGCACATCATCACTGCCTGCAACACAAGTGCACATCAACACTGCCTGCAACACAAGTGCACATCAACACTGCCTGCAACACAAGTGCACATCAACACTGCCTGCAACACAAGTGCACATCAAAAACTGCCTGCAACACAAGTGCACATCAACACTCCCTTGCAACACAAGTGCACATCAACACTCCCTGCAACACAAGTGCACATCAACACTCCCTGCAACACAAGTGCACATCAACACTCCCTGCAACACAAGTACACATCAACACTGCCTGCAACACAAGTGCACATCAACACTGCCTGCAACACAAGTGCACATCATCACTGCCTGCAACACAAGTGCACATCAACACTGCCTGGAACTCAAATGCACATCATCACTGCCTGCAACACAAGTGCACATCAACACTGCCTGCAACACAAGTACACATCAACACTGCCTGCAACACAAGTGCACATCAACACTGCCTGCAACACAAGTGCACAT